GTACTTATGGTCATATTGTATCGAAGTAACATACCTCAATCTGACGTATTTCGGCTTCAAGCCCTTGCTTTGACACAGCACTGCGCTCATATTCGTTTTTCGTTCGCCTACTTTCTTCAAGCTTTCTTTGCAAAGCGGCTTTCAATGGTGGCATGGTAATATTGAATTGTTCAAGCATACCCTTCAGTTCTATGCACTTCGCTTTCGCATCTGAAATGATTTCACTTGAAAGAATGCATCTTTAAAGATGGAAATCTATATCTACTGCATTACCATCAAGCTGAGTTCGCAACGAAGTTTCATCTCCTGCAATAATACCCTTGGATGCATTTTCTACTTTCAACGTCGCTCTTTGCAATGCCTCTTGATCAGCATCGCGCTCAGCTTTGAGGGCTTCCCAGGTTCGGTCTCGGTTTTCATGCGATTTTAACTGCGCATTTAAGCTTGTTTTCTCCTGCGAATGATTTAAAATAATCAGACATTGCTTCAGGAGCTTATGTTCCCGTCCATTGATTAATATAATTCGTAGGTACGAAATAACTCCAGTATTTTGTTGTTGAGGTGATCAAGAGCATGAAAAACATTCCAACTTCGATCTCAATAAAAAAGCATATACTGTACACAGAAATACGTACACAGTACTGTACTCAAGCGAAAATGTCAACAGTATTGATCTAAGAATGGGACCATTCAGCTTGCTACAGTAGTTAATACAAGGAACTAATTTGGCCATTTCTCACAGAAATGTATCTAAATCACTCACGGACTCCAAGTTTTTCTCAAACGTTCGTAACTTCTTGTCCAATTCCTTTATGGAGTCGTGTCCCATTTTAAGATCTGAGCGGGCCACTTCCAGAGACTTGCTCAAACCAGACATGGCTCCCATCAAGCTGTTGAGCTCATTTCTTGGTACCTAAACGAATGGAAAGAAACAATTACTGTATAGTGAAAATAAACAGTTAAAAAGATACAAAACTTACCAATAACTGCTTTGTTTCGATTTCACAAATGAGTTTATCCAATCGAACGATCTCTCCCTCTTCAGAAGAAATCGACGACTGCAGAGCTTCAATTTTCTTCTTCACATTTTCTCGGGTTGCTTCGGTTTTCTGGAAGGCTTCCTGTGAATTTTTCAAATTTGAACAGATATAAAGCGCTTTCATCAAGCGAGTCAACAAAATAACATACGAGAGTCTCATGGTAAACATGCATCAAGTACGCCTGTCTGTGACTGGCCACAGACTTTTGAATATCTTCATACTCTGCATAATTCCGCCGATCCTTCTCCAGTCTTTCCAAAGTCGGGTTTATGTTATCTCTCAGTAGCTACAGAAATATAAAAATAACTTGACTTCAATATGAAATAAGCGACATAACAGTTCACTCACGTGCTCAATTTCTTGCAATTTGACCTCCTTTTTGTCGATTGTATTCAAAGCTGCCAATTTCTTATGCTCGTACATTTTCGTACCTGCAGCTTCTTCTATCATTCCCAATATCTAAAAAAATGAAATCATTCAGGATAACGATGGGTCTTCGGAAAAATGAACAACTCATGACGAACTTCGGCCGGTTTCGCATCCAGCATCTTCGCAATTTTCCCTTGCATAATCAGAAACGTAGGATTGTTCACGTTCAAATTAACGGATCTGAACAAATCGTGTACTTGAGTGTTGGACATAAAAAGTCCTTGCACCAGATATCGACTTTTCCCATCCAACACAACCTGCAGAGCAAGAATTTGTTTCCAGAAAATTTACATAAACCGACGTTCATATAGAAAAATAGGATGAATACCTGGCGGGTAATCGTGATAGAATCAACATCTTCATATCCCACTGGTGATGCGCTTTTGTCTGTATTATCAAACGTAATGGAAACGCTCGCAGTTTGAGCTTTTCCTTGTCCACGCATGTAAATGAGATCTTGAAGATTACCAGCTCGGATCTGCAATGAAACGAGTCGTATCACTTTATACACGGGAGTTAGCTCGTCTTCTCACCTGAGTTAAGTTGGATATCCCGAGAACGAAACATATAGCATCGAGGATGTTCGATTTCCCAGTTCCATTGAGACCAGTGATAGCGTTGAACTCTCGATCGAAGTCGGGTATAACAGTACGATTGGCGTAGGATTTGAAAGCATCGAGAACAACTTGTTTGATATACATTTTCCTGATTAATTCATCGACGAACAACCAAAGAGATCACTGCCTGGCCGAACTAAGACCACGGATAACGATTCGCACGTTCGCTCATCTTCAGACAGACAAGAATTGTACAACATACATTTTCTGACCCGATTCATGGCAATCAAATAAGGTGTACGTGTTGATTATCGCCGGAATCACATGCAAAGAACCGAATATTGATGACCATCCGACCACGTACAGACGATCCGGCAGCTCTTGAAAACAGCACTCTTGCCTCACACGGTAAGACGAATCATGCAAGGACTCAACAAGATCTAATTCACGGTCAAACATCAAGGATTTTCTGTCCGTATTTACGTCAACTGCCGAATTCGCGCCATACGCATGGTCCAATTTCTGATACGCGGGACTCGCACACAGGCCATAAGGAGGACACGCGCGGACAAGGGCAATTCATACTACTGTACAGTACTGTATATCAACGTAAGGATAGCCCAGCAATTGTGGCACTCTTCAATAACAAGTCAGAGACTCGAGTATACCCGATTTAAAATGAAAAAAGCATTTTGATCATAATGCAATAAACTGTATGGATCGCAACGTTCTTTGAATGAAAATACAGCTTATTTTAGCATTAGGATTGAGCAATATGCTGTACTTTGCAGGGATAAATTCTGACCAGATGGGACGCATCGCCTATACTGTAATAATATTTCGGATAATGTTCAAATGAAAAATAATTTTATAATGGAATGAATGACACATGAGTACTGAATTTGCATCCCTGGATGAGGTACCGCTTGCCTCCTTTGCTTCTAGTTACACTCCCTTCTACCAAAGCCGGGTGGTTCGGAAAGTGGCCAGCCAGGTTATGAAAGAAGGACGAGTTGGTTGAATTCGTCCGCTCGGTCGTGGTTCCCACAGTGTGGGAGAGGAATGTGCATATCTCCGGAGTCAGAATTTCGTTCACTAATTATGTTAATTTATGTCTAATCATAGGGAAAGTTTGGCGGTAGTTCAACTGATATTTGTCCGTGATTCGATTCGCCATGGCTCTCCGCGTGCAGTTCGAAAATAACAACGAAGTTGGCGTGTTTTCAAAGCTCACGAATAAATATTGCCTTGTTGGGTTTGGAGCCACTGAAACTTTTTACAGGTGAGAACGACCCGCGTGTCTCGCGTGAAATACTGGATTGTTTTATGACGTCTAAATCTACTTTTACAGCGTTTTTGAAGCGGAGTTGAGCGACATAATCCCCGTTGTTCATGCATCTGTTGCAGATTGCCGAATTATCGGCCGATTAACAGCTGGTTTGTTACCCCATATCATCGTTTATGTTCCCCTTGAATAATAATCGAAGTATTTTTCTAGGCAACAAGAACGGTCTGTTGGTTCCCAGTACGACAACTGACCAAGAGTTGCAGCATCTGCGAAATTCGCTGCCAGACGAAGTTGTCATTCAACGAGTCGAGGAGCGGTTATCCGCCCTTGGGAACGTAATTGCTTGTAACGATTACGTCGCTCTCGTCCATCCCGATATCGACCAGGAAACTGAGGAGATAATCCATGACGTCTTGAAGGTCGAGGTTTTCCGAAGAGATGTTGCTGATCAACACCTTGTTGGATCTTATTCGGTTCTCAGTAATCAAGGGGCATTAGTGCATCCGAAAACATCTTCACAAAGTCAGGACGAACTTTCGGCTCTCCTGCAAGTCCCGGTTGTGGTAAATTATTTTATTCATCCATCATAAATTCCTTCATCCTGTTGTGTGAAATTCTTAAGTTTACAGAATGAGTCCGACTCTTCCAATTAAACAGCAAAGCAACGGATCATAAGATTGCATAATGCATGTTGAATTCGTTTCTTACGATGAAAGATGTGGCAAGAATTTTCAATCTTGTATAAGGTTTAATTGCATAGTCAATTTTGGTGTCGATATTGAGGTCAAGTTGATGAAAAGTCAGCTCTTTATTAAACCTGGATGATATCGATATGTTTGTACGGATGATTTCACGGTTACATCTGTTCGGTCTGAATTTTTTTTTTTCTGTCGGAACTAATTTTCGATACAGTACTTTTGGGCGCGAATTCACTCGGATTAATTTGGGGTTTCGATCTGAAGCATATCTCATAAATCTGACATTCTAGAAAGAATCTCAACGGAACTCTTGATTTTCTTGTGAAACTTCTTCAAGAGTACCACGGTACAGACTTCAGGGATCATTCAGAAATTGCACTTGGCAGAATCTAACATTTTTCGCTAGATGCAGAACTGTTCTTCTTTTGAAAATATTCGTGTATGCTGAAGCTTTTTCATTGACCAATCTAGTCCTAGAATTCATTTACCTATATAAAAACCGAAGGGCATGAAATATATCATATATATTTATATGATATATATAAGTCAAACTTCATGAGTTGTACTGAGCGTTTGTGGCGATATCATTGTAACAATTTTCCTTCGACTTTTAATCATTGATGCATGTTATAGGCAGGGAGCGTAAACAGAGGATCGGACGTGGTTGGCGCTGGAATGGTGGTGAATGACTGGTGTGCTTTTTGTGGTCTTGACACAACGTCGACCGAATTGTCAGTGATCGAAAGCATCTTCAGAATTACAGACGCTGGACCGGAAGCTGTCAGAACCACGATGAAGCCATCGTTGATTGACACGTGAGTAAATTGATTTCTTTCGAGCGAGCGAACAATTTTCTTCTTCATTTTTAATGACTCTTTTTTCAGATTGGCTTGAAGAACCGGTATCGTTCCATGCATGTTTTGGAATAATTCGCTCTCCGGAATTCCGCGTGAAGTGTATCTTTTTCCATCGGATGTTTAAACGGAGGATTAAATGTTCTGCCCGGTCAGGAGTGCGTTTTTCTTTTCCTTGCTGAGTATGATTGGAAATTGCTTTTTGACCCTGCTATCCTGAAACCACAGGTACGCTTTGAATCGTTCAGCGTTGTTCAGGTTTTCGGAAAGTGTGTGAAATCGATTGCAGCAAGGATGGATGGTTCAGCACCTGGCAGTAGTCATGACAGTGTACCTAGGTAAGTTTAATCGACATGGCATCAGTTAATTTTCATTTGCATCTTTTTATGACGCCCCGACGAATCTTCGTTTTTGGTCTGGTTTTGAATTTCTTCATCTGGTCATAGTGACGCGGAGAACTGGTCGGAAGAAGATTGCAAAAAAGCATTGTATCAAGGAGAAATATTACTTCTGCGATACCGATACCAGGAGGCTGTTGATAAATTGGAGCTGTGCGTA